ACGAGCTTCAGATAAATGTAAATGCACGAGATTATGACACGGGTGATCTTTTTTTAATGAAGTTGAAGTGTCGTGGGAGTTACTATAATCTTATTGGAAAATGGGGTCAAATCATCAGAGGGAAAGGGCTGCAAGTTGGACAGGAGATTAGGGTTCGTTGGGATAATGGGTATTTGGTTTTTTCAGTTCCTCAATGATATAGTAATACTGATATCAGGTTATTAGGTAGAAAAATTGACGAAAGTACTCGAGTTACATTACATGCTCAATGCTCAATGCACAATGAATGTTTTTTTTTTTTTTTTTCGCTTTGTAAATCTGGAGATGTGTCGTTAGTTGTTACCAGTTTACGCGGTTGTTTATATTGGTAATGACACCAGGGTTCAATTTTCGTTATTCTAGTCTTTGGTTGTCCCGGATATTTGCATATACACAAAAGGTTGGTTTTTATTTTATGTTGGTATGGAAATGAAAAGTATATATATATATATATATATATATATATATATATATATATATATATATATATATATATATATATATATATATATATATATATATGTGAATGAGGGGATAAGGTGTTAGAATAAAACAACAAAAGGTATGTCTCTGAAAGCTAGAACTGTGTAATTATTTATTTGGAGAAATGTTTCAGGTTGTAAGATATGATATTTATGTGCTGTTTTTTTTTTTTTTTTCCTACAATAAGTACTGTATGGGTAAAGCGGGTGAATGTGTCATAAGGTCTGTTTCTTTTCGAGATTGATTAAACCGGCTGAGTGAAACTAAATGATCATTTTACCCTTACAAACCATTTTCATAATATTGGTCATTTTTAACATGAGAAGAGTTGGGGTGAAAAAAAAAAAGAATGGCAAATAGTTAAATGGTTGGTGTCAGAATACATTTAGCTTTTTTTTTTTTTTTTTTTTTTTTAAATCTTTGCATTGTTGTATACAATTGCGAAAAGAAATCCATAATATATAGCTATTATAATTTTGAAAATTCAATCTGGGTAGAACGGGTATACACGAATTAAAATTTCTACCTATTACCCAAACCATTGTAAATTTGGGTTATTTGATAACCGAACTATCCGATCCAATTTACCCGAATAAAAAACGGGTCAAATGGGTAGAATGTGTTTCAGTTATTTTGGACATACCTTATATGAAGGATGACCCTACTATTACTAGGATGAATCTCAAGGCATTTTTCATTACTTCTTAAAATAAAGAAAATGATGTTGTCCATATCATAACATGTTTCTTTAATTCTCAAAATTAAGAAAAGAGTGGTATTCTTTCCAACCAAGCTATAAAATCCCAAACAACCAAAATGTAGCCACTTGACCCTTTATTATACGCGCTTAGCACACGTACTTTCGGGTGCAACAAATTTTAATAAATCATGCTTTAATTAGCTTTAAAACCGATGACCACTTGAGGAATCATAATGAGTGCCAACAATCTAAAACAAATACATCAATACATGTGGATGTGCAATAAGTTAAATAATAATAATAATAATGCATTCATGCCACAAATGACCATGCTACTCTCAAGGTAGCATTCAAGTTTCGCTAGATTCGGGCAATTTCGAATAACCGCTTTTAGTTTGTATATATCGGAAACAAATAATTCAGTTGCAAGCTAATTTGTTTAAGGACTCTGTGTTAACTATAAACCTCGACAATATCAACATAATTTAGTTTTTTTTTTTTTTTTTTTTTTTTTTTTTTTTTTTTTTTTCGAACATCATCGCATCTTTTTTTTTTTTTCCCTCTAAAAACAAACATTTATATCGATGTATGTCAATGTCAAACCGTAAAGTTCAATGTTTATTGTTTGACAATCATTAAGTTCAAGTTTGTATGATTTAGTTTAAATTGTTTGGGTTGAAAAACAATTCAATTTTGTTTTTTTAGTTGAAAAAACATTTGATTTCAATTTTCTTTTCGGTTTTTTAAAAACCAAACTGCCAAATTTGGTTTCTATAATTTTGTTCGTGACCGCAACTTCATACAAACACATTGAATAGTTCTATGATATAGTCTATATTTCTACTAAAAGTATATTATAGAGACCAAAATGGAATGTTTTTTCAACCAAAAAAAAAAAATTTATTATAGAGACCAAAATGGAATGTTTTTTCAACCAAAAAAAAAAATTGATACAAAATCATAGAAATCGAAATTGAATGGCTTTTCAAAAAAAAGAAAAAAAGATTTGGCATCAACATATATTGATATAGATGTTTATTTTCAACAAAAAAATATCAATATATCAAAATTTATAACTATAAAGTTCAGTTTTTTTTTTTTTTTTTTTTTTTTTTTTTTTTTTTTTTGAAAAACGTTGGTTTAGGTTTCTATGTTTTAGTTTCAACTTTTTTTTTTGGGTTGAAAAAATCATTTAACTTTTGTCTCGTATCTATATTTTTTTCACCAAAAGTTTAATGGTTTTTATATTATATTATATAAATGGTGAATGTGTTTGTATGAAAGTTGCACTTACAAACCAAATTTTACAGTTTGGTTTTTCAACAAAAAAGTATGAAATTATAGAAATCAAAATCAAACGATTTTTCAAACCAAAAGATGAAAATTAAGTTATAGTAAACGAAACTAAATAGTTCAATAAAATACTGAATTTGCGGTTTGACATTGATATAGATGTCTCTTTATAAATAACAAAGATTATAATTTTTGTTTATATATTAACGTTTTTCGATAAAACCGAGCCCTAAAATTCAAAAAATAAAAAACAAAACAAAAAATAGATATTGGTTTGATAGTTTCTTTTAAATGAGTGGTTTTATTATAATGTAAAGGGTATCACTTGTTTGACTTGTATTTGCATTTCAAGCTAAGTGGTATCGTCACACCTAATCCACTCAAAAAGTGATGCTATCTCAGCGTTATGTCAGTTCCACTACAAACTTATTATCAAACCACTAGCCATTGGAAATGGTTACCATTATATATATATATATATATATATATATAATATATATATATATATATATATATATATATAAATTCAAGGGTATGAATTGTAAATCCCAGAAATCATTTTTGATTAACTAATATGGATTTAGGGTAGGATCTATCACGTTGGAAAAGTCCAGGGACCAAATAAGCCATATCCTGAAATTCAAGTTGTCTTCTTCACCTACAAATGGAATTAAACGGCATTGATCACCGTTTGCAAAGCTGCTTATTCATTGGTTGTCTTCGTCCGTGGAGGGAGTCACGCCACAAAACACCTACGCTTCTTTGGGGCGGTGTTCATGAGTAGCTTGGCCAGCCATGTCACATTTCACGCCACAAGAAACCTTCGTCGGTGTGTCTAAAAATATGTGCCTTTATTTTAATAGTAGCTAAAATTAAAAGGTTAAATCCAAAAACAAAAACTTTTTATGTTATTAGCCTCTCTACATATTATCCATCAAATTTTGTAATCTAACGAACCACATTCCATCTTACTAAACCAATAAATAATTCCAATTTTAAAACCTTTGTAAAAGAAATCTATTTTTATATTTAATATTTAATACCTTTACCTTTTTTGTTATGTTCCAACCCTACATACCCCACTCCACCCCATCCCCAATGGCAGAAGCTGTACATGGCCAACTTGAACATTGGTGATACTTGTGTTTGGTGAATCTTTCTTAATATATTGGTGTGATGACAAGGACATCTCCATGCTATTGGTTCCATTTCAAGACTTGGACCAAAATAATTCTTATCAACATAAAAAAACCAACAAAAAGCTAACAAATTGTATTTTTAAAACCCCTGAAAGTCTAATTTATCATTTTCATTGTACTCGTTTTATCTGATTTTTGTTAAAAAGTTATATTTGTAGATTTGATTTCTCGTTAAATATTATTTTCTAATGTGATATTATATTTTCATAAACAAAAACCTGAAAACGACAAAAGAAAAGAAAATTGGTTTCATTTGGGCTGTCAAAAGCAAGCCTTATTCATTATTCATCGACCAGCTGCAACCCAATCCACATTGACGACAATTCAAGAATTTTAGAGAGAGAGAAAGAGGAGGGGAGCAGAGCAGAGCAGCTCCAACGATAGATAGAGATAGATAGATCATAGATAGTGAGAGCTGTTCGAAGAGGAAGAAAACCCTAATGATCAACACTTGCTAGAAGAAGAACAGCAAGTTGAGCTTCGATTCGAGTCGATTTGGTTTACTATCCTCGTTTCTTCCCGAAAATCACATTGCATTTGAAAATCTTCTCTGCGTAATAGAGGTAATGATCAGCTAAGTAAATTCCTCGTGAAAGATTGAATTTGTGTCGTTTTAGCTTGAAAGTTATTGATTTTTTGAGAGAATGTAGGTTACGTAGAATTAATTAGTGTTCTTTTTCCAATTATTAGGAGGATAAACAATAGGAAGAAAGAAGGTGCAAATTTTAGGTGTAAACTATAAGGTATGATGAATATGAATATTATCAACTGAAATTGGTTTGAATCTGATTTCGCCCCTCAATGGTACTAAATTATTAAGCTCATCTGTAAGAAACGATAATTTGATTATGGTGGTTGTAGATGATTCACCATTACTAGTTATTTCTGCCATACAAATATATTAGTTTCTTATATGCTTTTGCCATAATTATTTTACAGGAATTTGTGATTTGGCTATGGAGAATTCCAAGGGACCATCAACAATAAGAAATATGTACAGTGGAAAACACTATTCCCTTCCCCCTAAAAGTCCATTTCCAAGCATTACCCCATTTTATCCTGATTATACTCCAACCACTGCAAGTGGACCAAAAGGGATACCAAAGTACAGGGACGGAAATGTAAATTCACATCATCATCATCATCATCATCATCATCATCAACGTACTTCTTCTGAAAGCCTTCTAGTAGAAGAACAACCTTCATGGCTGGATGAACTTCTTGATGAACCAGAAACACCTGTAAGAAGAGGTCATCGTCGCTCATCAAGTGACTCTTTTACATATATGGAAGCAGCTAATGCCAACATAGAACATGCTGCACAAATTGAGTACAGATTGAGAAACATGAATTCTCAATCTCCTCCTTCATGGGGATCTCAAGACTTTGATCTTTATAAAGATGCTAGGAATGCATCTTTTTATGTAGAACATAATCCAATGACAAAAAACAAGAATCGTGGTTGGGATTCAGCAAATTCTTCTAGGGATGGATTTATTCTGCAAAACTCTACATCATCGGGTGCCTCACAAGAGGTTAATAAGATTGTCTCACCAACAAACGAAAAGCAAGACACAGTTGAATCTTGTACACAAGATGCACATAGTGATTCATCTAATAACAAGGGTTCTGCATCAGAAACAGACACTAAGCGTGCTAAGCAGTAAGTAAATTCTCTTTCTCCTTTTTACATTTTGGGATTTAGGGCATGCTGAAGTTTACAATATTAAAAAATAGGAAATGTAAATCATGTTTGCTGTGTTACAAGTCGACTCTGCTAGTTGAAATATGAAATTAACACCTTTGTACATCAAATACAATTTCAATTTCTCCTCCTTTCTACTTTCAAAAGCTTTTTAGTGAGTTGTTTCATTATAAATGAAGTGAGGTGCTGTTTCCTTTTGACTTAATGGACTTGATGGGGACATAACTTAATCTTGTAAGCTATATATATATATATATATATATATATATATATATATATATATATATATATATATATATATATATATATTATATAATATGAGTATTTCTTTTTGACTTAGTGTAGAAAGAACGACTTAATAGATAAATCAAGGGATAAGGATTACAAGGGGTATTCCCCATTAAGTCCTAACTTTTTTTTTTTTTTTTTATAATTTGGCCTCCTTTACTTTCCTACCTTTGGTTTGAAATATTTTACTTTCCTTTTCAAGATGGCATGTATGATAATCCTTGTTTTCTGGTGCCAATAAGGAAATGTAGTTTAACAATATTTCTAAAAGCTCCAAGTTGGTATTCCTGCTTTTGATAACAGGCCCCATCTGTATGAGTGGTTTTGGTAACATGTTCCACTAATAAGTAATAACATAGATTAAAGATGATGACGTGGATTTATGGTGATTATTAACTTTTATGAACAAATCTAATAACAGGCAATTTGCTCAACGTTCTCGGGTGCGAAAGCTTCAATACATAGCAGAATTGGAAAGGAATGTACAAGCTTTACAGGTGGATTATAATTCAAACTAAACTTGTTATTGTCTTATTGATATTTGATAGCTGTTTTATAATTCAAACAGGTACTTAATATATATTTGATGTGATTGCAGGCAGAAGGCTCTGAGGTATCTGCTCAACTAAAGTTTCTAAACCAGCAAAGTCTTATTCTGAACATGGAGAACAAAGCACTGAAACAGCGGTTAGAGAATTTGGCTCAAGAGCAACTTATCAAGTACTGTAAGTTTCTAAACATGCAAAATATGAATATAATTGGTCTGGATCTTCTCTGATTATCTGGTTTTGTTTATGTGATGACTTATTAAAGTATTGAGTTGCTACTTGCTATAGTTATATATATCCACTGAAGCAAATTTTTTTTTTTTTAAAGTGGAACATGAAGTTCTAGAGAGAGAGATTGGCAGGCTGAGAGGGCTGTATAAACAACAGCAACAACCAGCATCCGAAGAGTCGATTATTATGCATCAGCGAACCAACAGTAGAGATAGTGTGGAATCTCAGTTTTCAAAATTATCTTTGAAAAACAAGGAAGTGGGCCCACTTCGCATCTGAAAAACAAACGTGTTTTTTGTTGTATCTTTTGAGTTGACTAATCTCATTCTGAAGCTGACCAACAAAATGTCGGCTCTATAGCAAATGGTAAACTGTTTGCGGGATGAGGCCCTGGCCCCTGGGTGGTACCTTTTTTCTGCCTGTTTTTTGGGAGGTTATGTGTGCTTGTTTATGTGTATGTGTATGTGAATGTGGATGTGGATGTGGATGTGTATGTTTATGTGTATGTGTATGTGGGTGGTTTTATTGTGTTAAGCTAATTTAGCAACATACTTGCGCCTAGTGGTCTCACTGGAGCTAGTGGTAACTATGGGAATATGGGGTGGTTTGTTTCCTCCTAATTGTCATTTATTTGGGGATTCCTTTCAAACATTTTGTAATGATTATTCATCTCTTAATGTTAATTTTAAGACTCTTGATGTAGCATTTTGTTTTCAAGATAATACCATTTTCCGGACAGAGTGGATACGATAGGATTATGGTAAGATAATGTCATACAAAGAGAAGAGAGAATGCAGTAAGATTATAGTAAGAATTTTTATTTTTATAAATTTTTATAATAGAGGTAATCTAAATGAATATGGTTCAAGACAAATTATCATTCTTGCATTATATTCATTTGAAACTTTCATCCCATCATCTTTCTATTCATGAGTTTTTAATATATATCTTATATTTATTTAGCATTAAAATTAAAATTGTGTAATTAAAAGAATATCAAAAGATTGGTAGTTTATTTATTTATTTATTTATTTTTTTAAAATCTAAACATGTCAATCATTTAAGAAACACACGGATATAAATCAAATGAGAAAAAATATATATAGAAAGAGGAATACAAAATTTTCAAGTTTTTTGTTTGGTTTACGCTTTTTTGGCCACATTTTAAATGACATACAATGTAAGAGAGAAAACATGTGGAAAGAACAAATGTTTAAAGGTTGTAACACCAGTGTTCTAGGTATATTTTATTTGTGGTTTGTTTCTTTAAAAAGTTTGCAAAATGGTCCCTACGTTGGGCGTACAAGATGGATATGTCGGGTGTAGGCAATTAAATGATTGATCGCGGATTTCTCGAGTATGCTAGGTGTACGCATGTGTATGTTGGGCGTACTCATGTAGAGGGCAAACCCTAATTTTTTAGGTTTGGACCATATTTAAAGAACATTATGACCTTAGACCCTCCCTTACCTTCAGTCTCCATCTTCTAAACGACCCCCCTTGCAAACCTTAACCTCTCTTGGTGAGATTTTGAGTTTTTTGAGTGTTGTGTGTCCATTCTTGAAGGAAGGAGATCTTTAGAGTGCTCTTGGAAGCTCTAAAACATTTGTGGATCTGGGATTAACACACCTCTAGCAACCTTCATAAGGTATAAAGCTCTATACTTGGTGCCTATTTCTTTAGATCTAACTATATAGTAAGATTTGTTCATTATTGGTTTCATAGCCTTGGATCTTGGGATTTTGAGCAACTCCAAACCTAATGAGGAGTGTTTCCTTTCATTTAAGAGCATTGTGGTTCATAAAAATGGGATTTTGATCTTTCCTAATCATGCATGATTGATCAAGTAAGCTTTTTGGTCATGAATAAGACTTAAGGTTGGATTTTGGACCCCTTGTAGCCATGCAAATACATAAAGGTCACAACTTTATAGTTTTAGACATTTGTTAGGGTTAGATATGAATTTTGGACATTAAGCCTTATTGTATTAAGACCTAGATTGAGATTTTGGCCATCAAGGGTTTACGTTGGTTATAACCTCGTGTATGCTGAGCGTAACAGGCTGAAGCACCTGATCCTTTCGAGATCGAGCTGTACGCTAAGTGTAACAAGTAGTACGTCGAGCGTACTCTCAAAAAACCTTTTGGGATGTTTTTGGGTCTGGGGTCTTTAGGAGTTGTGGACTTTGGCTAGTTGAGTCGTGAGTGGAAGGGGAAAATGGTCTTTTGCCCTTGGGAAGATAAAAATATGATTTAGACCTTTTTTTGTGGGTTAACCCTTGATTATTAATTAGGGTTGTTATTGGGTTATGCTTAGTGTGAGGAGCAGTGTTTGCAGCAGCTCGAGTGTGCGGTTCAGTTATCTTCAGTTCGAGGTGAGTTTTCTCACTATGCTTGTGGGTCGAAGGTACCAATGCCGACCCACCATGTTGTTATGTAGAATGTTAGCTGTTATGTGACTTTTACATGTTTTAATGATCTGGGTTGAAATAGACCCCAGAGATGGGCCCACGAGTATAAGATGGGTTGAAAGATACCCTAAGGCTAGGCCCATATTTTTGTATTGGGTTAGAATATACCTTAGGGCTAGGCCCATTTATATGTCTAGTATGTGGTACTTTGGGGAACTCACTAAACCTTATGCTTGGAGTTTTATTTATGTGGTTTCAGATACTTCCGGTTCGAAAAGGAAGGGCCCGACATAATGGCACCACATCATCCCCTCATGGTTTGTGCATTTTATGATCTCTTTTACTCTGATATTTTTTGATAGTTTGTATTTTGGATAATTTCGAGACATGTGATGTTTGGTTTGATGAATTTAAAAATGAAATTTTTACTTATGGATTTTGTGTTATTACAAAGATTGTGTTGATTTGAGTTTTTTTTACTACGTTTCCAATCATGTTACGATGTCATAGTTTTAATTTTTATGTTTGTTATATATGTTATTAAAGTAACTTAATAGTTTTTGCTATATAGATATATAGATTTAAAGCGAGGATACAAATATTATGGACGAGTAAAATGTAAATATTGAAACAAGTTTCATAAAGATATTATTCTTTTTTAGTTATTGATCAATTATGATACTATACGTCTCCATATAATACAAACTTTGATATTTTATTATTATGTATTATATTTGTGATTTTAAAATAAAAAAATTATTTATATATTTGGGTGTTTAAAATTTTGAAAGAAATGTACAATTAGATACTTAAATCTTATATTTTAGTATTTATAGTTAAACTGTCATTTAAGAAAAATTATAAGAAAAAGATGAATGAAAAGTTTGAAAAAATTATTAGAAAAATAAAGCGTGTGGCTCAATATAAATAACTACTTTTTAAAATTAAATCTATTTATTTTATTTAAATAATGTATTTAATTAATTACACTTTTTGAGTTACTCATCCAAACTAAAGTTTCACGATAAATCATTTATCTTTTACCATTTTAATTTTATTAATTATTACAATATAATATTAACTTTTTCTATATTTCATACTTATAGTGTTATAGTGTGATTATTGATTATTAAGTAAGATAGTTGAATATGTTTTACAAAAAAAAATGTTAATCAATTAAGTAGCTAATAAAAATTTAAACTCTCGCCACTCTTCAACTTTACATATAAAAGTATAAAACTATAGATAAATATTTATTTTTACCATATTAATTTGAATATTCAAATTTATTAACTATTACAAAATAATATTAATCTTTTCATATGACTATTGAAAATTTAATGATTGTTAGTTGAATATTTTTATTATATGATGTCATTTTTATTACAAGTTGAATTTTATACTATATATGATAAACTAAATGGTTTAAGACAAATCATTTATCATTTACCATTTAACTTGAAATTTTTTTAATTTATTAATCATACGTAACACTCCTCGCTAGGGCCTATTGAAATTATACTTAAGAAAAATCCTTTGTGGAAAAATTCCCACAAAAAGATTCAAAATAATGTTTTGCGTAAAAACTATTTGGTCCTAAAAAGGTAAACTTAATCAATTTTGAAAACTAGTGAGGTTGCTAACAGTAAACATCTAAAAACAAGTCTCCAGCTCACCACACATTTTGTGGCCTTCTTAAAGTCCAAGCTAATCCTTAACTGAAGCCAATGTCTTTAATCTGAACACACATCAAACTATGTTAAGCAATGAATTTGCCTAGTAAGTTACCTCAGGTTAGGTCATTTAGAAGGAGAGGATGTCAATCAAACTTATTTGAACCAAGCCTCCAAAAAATATTTAAAACACAAAGAACACTTAGGGTTTAATAACTCAAATCAAATCAATGGTCTTATATGCCAAAAAGATTTACTTTAAACAAAGTTATTTCCAAAGGGATGCATAAGTCCAACAATTTCCATAAAAAGGGTAAACCAAGATCAACCAATAAATACGATGCAACTACTCCCACCCTTTTGTCAATCTCATAAGTCTAACTCAACAAAAAAAGACCGGACATGTAAAGCTCAGTACATACGACATACGATAGTACCAACTTTTGCACTAATATCACAAACAAAGTTCGATGGTTGGATATGAAGAGCTCATGACTAACGTCACGGTCAAATTTTGCACTTATATCCACAAACAGTCAGTAAGGGCCATCATCATAGGCCACACAAGGGATATCAAACATCTACTTGTGTACATGAGGATTATCTAGAAATCTACTGACAACAAATAAACAAAACAATTGTCTAATTGATACCGAGATCAGATCTTACGGTCACACTCATCCTAGCATGATATGCACAAATAGGATGCTTAAATAATTTTGAAAGTATATAAGTTTTTTTAAGTTGACTTTTTAGATATCTAATAGTCATTAGACACTGGTTTGAAAGTGTTTAGAGTGAACTAGATAAGTTTTGTGGCCATTCTTGAGCTTTTGAGTCGTTTTGGGTGTGACATACAATTCACACAGTCAACGACATAGTGTAATCCCAATACTATCATTTTGTGCTATTGTACATATTTTTGGTTTTGCTTATAACTTATGCAACACAACTCCAATTCATTAACCCTTTAAAGGTCTTACGAAACATGTCTAGTGAATTTCATGTCAATCCAATAATTAAACATTTAATTAGTGCCTAATTATATAATTAACTTTTGATTAGGTGATGATTAAGGTGTGGGATCACTTGGGACTTGCGGTTAACTTTTACTACAAATTGAAGTTGAGTACATACCCAAAATACATGTAATTTATAACTATGTTCAAAAATGTTTTGAGATAATTGATGCTATATGTACTGTTATGTGTTATGTGGCCTTCATGGCATAAATGTGCATTGCATAAAATCATTTTTAATATGTTTTGAATGAGAAAATGCTATTAGTTTGAAAACTTATTTGACCTAAAACCCAATTAGAGGTAGATATGAAATTGGTTATGGAATTGTATCAATTAGCTATGGAATTTGTTATTGTAGTGAAAAGTATTAAGATTAAACATAATCTTGAAATAAAAACATTATGATGAACTTGCTTTGTAAGAAGAAGTATCATATAATGGAACGATATCAAAGCTCTAATTACAATGGTGAAACAACATCAAAGCTCCGGTTACACCATGTACACACAATTCAACTAAGACTTATATCAATATGACTAATAATTGTAATTTTTTGTTCCACATGAAAAGAGGGACATGCTGACCTTTTGTTTTTGCAA